CTCTTAGGTGTTTGCCCAAAAGAAATAAAAGCATATGTCCAAACAAAGATTTTCATGAATGTTCATAACTTTGTTTGCAATAGCCAAAAACTGGAACCAGCTCAAATATTCATCAACAGATACATGGATAAATGAATTGTGGTATAGTCACACAATAGAATATTAGTCAGAACTAAAAAGAAATGGATTACTAATAAGCACAAAACATAGATTAATATTAAAATAATAACATTGAGTGAAAAAAGCGAAACCAAAAGAGAGAGAGAGAGAGAGAGAGAGAGAGAACACATAGTGTTATCTATTTATATAAAATTCTAGAAAATGCATATTCGTCTATAGTGACAGAACCCAGATCAGTGGTTGCCTGTGATCCATGTTTGTAATATAAATCAGGAAAGACAGTTGGCCAAAATTATCATTGGCAATGGATCATAACCTTTGAGCTTAGCACTGGCATGTGATTAACTGCAGGAAACAGGTTGTAGAGGGATGAAAGCTCCTGACCCAGGTTCTGCACTGGTGCTCAGCGTGGAACTGAGGAATTCTGTCATCTTCATCACTTGCTCATTGCAATGAAAGGACTGACTCTCTGGAACCAACTACTGAGGAAACAAATGTCTTAGCTTCAAATTTATCATTGCAGACAATCTATTTTGTTAGTTTTTGTATATCCTGGGGCAGATCCTTACAATGTGACTGTTGTTTTGTACATTGTTTTAAGCATATTTGTAGGAGCAAAATAAGCAAAAATGAAAGAACAGATTGAAAAGCACAAAAAAAGATGAAAGAAGACATTTGGAAAGAAAAATACAGGGTAGTAGAAATGTATATGTAAGTCTATAAATTTTTAATTCACTTAATTACTAAATAAATAGTATTACAAATTACAAGATATTTAATTTTTAGATTTTTGGTTACATTAAATCTATTGCAAAAGTTTTAAATACATTGACTTTTGGTCATTTTCTATTAGATTAATAGGCCAAACTACAAATAGACTTTATGGTCATTTCATAGGAATAAAAATGGATTAAGCATTACTTAGGTGCAAATTTATAGTGGTTTTTTTTTAACATACTAATATTTACTTTTATAAATCCTTTATTTGGCTCTGCAATTTGCAATTTAAATTAATACTTTCGTTATTGTGCTGGAGTTTGGGTTATGCTACTTGTCCCAATTATTTTTCTAATATACAATGTGGATTATGTTAGGAAAAATGTATATGCAGGACTCGAATACATTTGTCATCAAAAATATGTTTGTGTATATTTTATGAGGGAAGTTTTCTATTATAGCTTAGAGTATAGTCTTTGCAGGTTTCTATATCAGGTGGGGAAAACAATCAGGCCAAAATGGTAGACAGAGGAAGACTTCCCCAGTATTTTATGCAAAATGACCTGAGGGAGGTTAGAGGAGGGAAAATATGAATTTAATCGAAGCATCTTGGCTGTAGCCAGGAATTCCCTCTCCTGAAGTAGATCCTGATGGGGATATGGCCTTTCAAATAGGAGAATGAACAAGAAGACTATACTGAGTAGTGGTTAAAGCATAGACTTTTGAAGTTAAAAGACATAAGTTCAAATGTTAGCTCCACCACGTGTAAGACTATGGACAATTTACTAAACCTCTTTGAGCCTCTATTTCCTTATCTGTAAAATAAGGATAGTAATGGTACCTATCTCCCTAGGCTGCTGCTGTAAGGAATAAATGAGATAAACATAAGGTGCTTAATACAATGTCCAATACCTAAAACATGCTCAATAGCCGGTAGCTATTTAATAAATAAAAGCAGGTCACACGTGGGAGCAGAGCAAGTCAAAGCAAGTGATCCAGGACAGTGGGAGGAGGGTGGCATCCTGCTTTGACATGAAATCCACAAGGGGTGTGGGTGGCTGGAGGCTCTCACAGCTTAATCTGTGCTGTCCAATATAGTAGCCAGTGGCCTCATGTCACCAAATTAATTAAAATAGAACAAAACTAAAAATTCAGTTCTTCTGTTGCACTAGCCATGTTCCAATTTCTCAATAGCCACATGTAGTTAATGACTACTATATTGGACAGCACAGATATAAAATCACCTTTGCAGAAAGTTCTACTTGACAATGTTGGGTTAAAATGGTCTGTGTTGGGCTGAACATTAAGGCAACATTTATGAATAACTGGTTAATTTAACTAATGTTCTAATTTTCCCTCTACTCTTCATTTTTTACTTTACAGAATCTGAGGCTTATCAAAACTGTTACCCAAGATTCTGTGCAATTTTTCAAGCTGTTAGAATATTTTTGATCACTGTTTATACCAGTGTATGTGAATGCACTCAGAGAGATTCTATGAAGGAGGCTGTCCTTGCTTTTCTTGATTGAGTTTCTGAATTCTATCATTAGCCTAAACATCTCTGCAATTACCCATATCTGGTTATTAGCATGTTATTTCTACAGCCCTCCTCCCCCTCCCCTTTCCCCTCCCCCTCCC